TTTTAAAAAAAAAAATTGAGTGAACAAAACTGAAGGGTATTATCTTGGGGAAAAAATAGTTGAATGACCAAAACAGAATCAAAGTGATAGTTGGGTGACTAAATACGTAGTTTACCCTTGATTTAAAATAGATATAGTTATAGGATACATGGAAGATACTCTAGTATTCCACTACGTGCTTGAGGTTAAAGGCAAGAAAACTTTAAAGAAACTTTAAAAAAAATATCGAAAATCCCACTTCATCTTTTGCAGATGTTTTCCATGGTTTCATCTTCTGCAAAATGTTCTCCCTTGGGATACAAGAAACATTGACGCTGTAGGAAGTACGAAAAGATAAAATAATAGAATGGAGATGGAAGGTATCGAATGACGAGAACATTCCACCATTGAAGTTTCATCTCATGTTTTAGTGTTAAATCAGAGTATCTTCAGAGTTCAAAGTGCAAGGGAAAATATTATCTTCCAAAGCATTTCAAGTATTTTTGGGTGAAAAGTAAACAGGAGAAGGAAGTAGAATGACGAGAACTGTCAAGGAACTGGATGGGATAGCCAACAGTGATGCTAGTCGGAAAAATCTCTGTTGAATGATGCTTGATGACCATGAGTCTGATAACTTATGCAAAACAAAGTGAAAAAGAAGTTGATGGGGGAGATGAGGGTGCTTTATGAAGAGTTGGTTAGGGTTCAATCCTTTGCTTCAGATGGGTGGGAACTTAAAAAAACCATTTGCACGTAATCTTTTTCATTGGTTCCTTCTTTACTACTCCGTAAAAGGTAAAGCAGAACAAGTAAGATAGAAAAAAAAAGGATAAATGAAGATGCGGGGGGTATCGATCCCCGTACCTCTCGCATGCTAAGTGATCGCTCTACCATCTGAGCTACATCCCCATTCACAAGTTTTACCATTAAAATACTTTTAATCAAAAGATATAAAGATTTATCGTTAGAATTTCTCAGTATATTTGGATTAAAGTAAATAAATACATTGGAGTATACTCAATGTTGGAAGCAGAACTATGGGTGACTTATATTGGAATGTTGTGTGCCCGGGACATAAGAATCATACAGCTTGAGGTGGAGTTGGATAGTCTGGATGCTCATGCCCTCCGCCTAATGAAAAGCAGGGTTAATCAGCGAGGCACGCCTGAAAATATATTACACATCCGAGAGCTAGAAAAAATAGTATGGAATGTATGTTTTCAACATGTCCCTCGTAGTCCTGGAAAAATATGTGATACATTCAGACTTAGAGGTGCACTGTCTCCCTATCCTGCCACCTGCTGTGTCAAGTCTGCTCCATGAAGATGGAGCTTTAGCTTAGTTTAGCTCTAGAAACTTGTAATCTTTCATTCACCAAAGAATATAAAAGTAAGTAAAAGAGAAAAAAATGGAAAAAAATGGAGATGCGGGGTATCGATCCCCATACCTCTCGCATGCTAAGCGAGCGCTCTACCATCTGAGCTACATCCCCGACTGGATTGAACATTCAAATAAGCATATATAATCAATAAGCATATTTAACATAAATCGTCAAAGAATCCAAAATTCTGAAGTCGCCAAAAGAGTGTCATATATCAATGCAACGCGTTTATTTGAAAGTTCCTGCGATCACATCTTATCAATTGTCCAAAAAAGTCATTACTATCCCAAATTTTGAAAAAATTGAGTGACCAAAATCGAAGGGTATTATCTTGGGAAAAAAATAGTTGAATGACCAAAACAGAATCAAAGTGATAGTTGGGTGACTAAATACGTAGTTTACCCTTGATTTAAAATGGATATAGTATATAGGATACATGGAAGATACTCTAGTATTCCACTATGTGCTTGAGGTTAAAGGCAAGAAAACTTTAAAGAAACCTTTAAAAAATATCGAAAATCCCACTTTATCTTTTGCAGATGTTTTCCATGGTTTCATCTTCTGCACAATGTTCTCCCTTAGGATACAAGAAACATTGACGTTGTAGGAAGTACGAAAGGATAAAATAATAGAATGGAGATTGAAGGTATCGAATGACGAGAACATTCCACCATCTAAGTTACATCTCATGTTTTAGTGTTAAATCAGAGTATCTTCAGAGTTCAAAGTGCAAGGGAAAATATTATCTTCCAAAGCATTTCAAGTATTTTTGGGTGAAAACGAAACATGTGAAGGAAGTAGAATGACGAGAACAGCCAATGAACTGGATGGGATAGCCAACAGTGATGCTGGTCGGAAAAATCTCTGTTGAATGATGCTTGATGACCATGAGTCTGATAACTTATGCAAAACGAAGTGAAAAAGAAGTTGATGGGGGAGATGAGGGTGCTTTATGAAGAGTTGGTTAGGGTTCAATCATTTGCTTCAGATGGGTGGGAACTTAAAAAAACCATTTGCACGTAATCTTTTTCCTTGGTTCCTTCTTTACTACTCCGTAAAAGGTAAAGCAGAACAAGTAAGATAGAGAAAAAAAGGATAAATGAAGATGCGGGGGGTATCGATCCTCGTATATCTCGCATGCTAAGCAATCACTCTACCATCTGAGCTACATCCCCATTCACAAGTTTTACCATTAAAATACTTTTAATCAAAAGATATAAAGATTTATCGTTAGAATTTCTCAGTATATTTGGATTAAAGTAAATAAATACATTGGAGTATGCTCAATGTTGGAAGCAGAACTATGGGTGACTTATATTGGAATGTTGTGTGCCCGGGACTTAAGAATCATACAGCTTGATGTGGAGTTGGATAGTCTGGATGCTCATGCCATCCGCCTAATGAAAAGCAGGGTTGATCAGCGAGGCACGCCTGCAATTATATTACACATCCGAGAGCTAGAAAAAAAGAGTATGGAATGTATGTTTTCAACATGTCCCTCGTAGTCCTGGACAAATATGTGATACCTTCAGACTTAGAGGTGCACTGTCTCTCTATCCTGCCACCTGATGTGTCAAGTCTACTCCATGAAGATGGAGCTTTAACTTAGTTTAGCTCTAGAAGCTTGTAATCTTTCATTCACCAAAGAAAAAAAAAGTAAGTAAAAGAGAAAAAAAATGAAAAAAATAGAGATGCGGGGTATCGATCCCCGTACCTCTCGCATGCTAAGCGAGCGCTCTACCATCTGAGCTACATCCCCGACTGGATTGAACATTCAAATAAGCATTTATAATCAATAAGCATATTTAACATAAATCGTCAAAGAATCCAAAATTCTGAAGTCTCCAAAAAAGTGTCATATATCAATGCAACGAGTTTATTTAAAAGTTCCTGCGATCACATCTTATCAATTGTCCAAAAAAGTCATTGCTATCCCAAATTTTGAAAAAAATTGAGTGACCAAAACCGAAGGGTATTATCTTGGGAAAAAATAGTTGAATAACCAAAACAGAATCAAAGTGATAGTTGGGTGACTAAATACGTAGTTTACCCTTGATTTAAAATGGATATAGTATATAGGATACATGGAAGATACTCTAGTATTCCACTACGTGCTTGAGGTTAAAGGCAAGAAAACTTTAAAAAAAATATCGAAAATCCCACTTCATCTTTTGCAGATGTTTTCCATGGTTTCATCTTCTGCACAATGTTCTCCCTTGAGATACAAGAAACATTGATGCTGTAGGAAGTACGAAAAGATAAAATAATAGAATGGAGATGGAAGGTATCGAATGACGAGAACATTCCTCCATCTAAGTTTCATCTCATGTTTTAGTGTTAAATCAGAGTCTCTTCAGAGTTCAGAGTGCAAGGGAAAATATTATCTTCCAAAGCATTTCAAGTATTTTTGGGTGAAAAGGAAACATGAGAAGGAAGTAGAATGACGAGAACTGTCAAGGAACTGGATGGGATAGCCAACAGTGATGCTGGTCGGAAAAATCTCTGTTGAATGATACTTGATGACCATGAGTCTGATAACTTATGCAAAACGAAGTGAAAAAGAAGTTGATGGGGGAGACGAGGGTGCTTTATGAAGAGTTGGTTAGGGTTCAATCCTTTGCTTCAGATGGGTGGAAACTTAAAAAAGCCATTTGCACGTAATCTTTTTCCTTGGTTCCTTCTTTACTACTCCGTAAAAGGTAAAGCAGAACAAGTAAGATAGAGAAAAAATGATAAATGAAGATGCGGGGGGTATCGATCCTCGTACCTCTCGCATGCTAAGCGATCGCTGTACCATCTGAGCTACATCCCCATTCACAAGTTTTACCATTAAAATACTTTTAATCAAAAGATATAAAAATTTATCGTTAGAATTTCTCAGTATATTTGGATTAAAGTAAATAAATACATTGGAGTATGCTCAATGTTGGAAGCAGAACTATGGGTGACTTATATTGGAATGTTGTGTGCCCGGGACTTAAGAATCATACAACTTGAGGTGGAGTTGGATAGTCTGGATGCTCATGCCCTCCGCCTAATGAAAAGCAGGGTTGATCAGCGAGGCACGCCTGCAATTATATTACACATCCGAGAGCTAGAAAAAAAGAGTATGGAATGTACGTTTTCAACATGTCCCTCGTAGTCCTGGATAAATATGTGATACCTTCAAGCTTAGAGGTGTACTGTCTCCCTATCCTGTCACCTGCTGTGTCAAGTCTGCTCCATGAAGATGAAGCTTTAGTTTAGGTTAGCTCTAGAAGCTTGTAATCTTTCATTGACCAAAGAAAAAAAAGTAAGTAAAAAAGAAAAAAATGGAAAAAAGATAGAGATGCAGATCCCCGTACCTCTTGCATGCTAAGCGAGCACTCTACCATCTTAGCTACATCCCCAACTAAAAGTTAATGCTTAAGACAACATATATTAACCTGAACATAATTAACATACGAAGCCAAAATTCTAAAGACGTCAAAAGAGTCTCATATATCATGCAACGAGTTTATCTGAAAGTTACTGCAATCACATGGTTCAACAATCACATCCTGACAGCTGTCCAACAAATTCATTACTTGAACTGCAAAGTTTGGATTAACGAGAAGCCTAATTGCAGGAGATAAACACCAAGGAGGCCAAGACAAGTCGACCCAACTGCAGCAGCATAGGATAGCAAAGCAACCTTTTTGTTTATTTTTACTTATTTTGATAAAACAAGCTATGTTCTTTCTTGACTAGAAACTTGACAAAGTCTCAATTTTTACGTCTTTTCATTGGGTTTATCACTGCAACTAACCAAAGCAAAGAAAAAAAAAATAGGTCTTTGATTCAAACCAAACATCCCCAGAACTTTGAATCAGAAAAATATAAAATTTCCTGCTGTTTCGTTTCACCCCAATCTGGTTTTTGCCATGTTCGCTAAACGCTTGCTTCAGAAAGCGGTTCACCATCCCCAGGTACAAAATAATGAAATTCCCTTTTAGTTTTAGTTTTAGATTTCCCCTTTTTTGTTAGTAATTCATCGTATGGGAGCTTTCTTGGTTTCAGCAAAATGTGCAGCGTGGGGATTTGAAATCAGAAGATTTGGATTTGCGAGTTGCTATCCACTATGGGATCCCCTCTACTTCATCAGTTCTTGCTTTTGATCCTATTCAGCGCCTCTTGGCTATCGGGACTTTGTGAGTTTCAAGTTTTAAGCTTTAATTCAATATTTAAGAATTCATATCCAACTTTCAATTGTCTTAGATAAGAATGCTTCAAAATTTGACCATTTATGCATCTTGAAGAATTGCTTCACCTACTACACTTTCCTTTTTGGCCCTAGTATGGTGTTTCGTTACTTGCTATTTTGGTTTCTATTTATTGTAGAGATGGACGGATTAAAGTTATTGGTGGTGATGGAATTGAGGGACTTCTCATATCTCCCAAGCAATTGCCTTACAAATATTTAGAGGTTTGAACTTGTTCAGCTCAAATATTTTCTTAAGGCTGGCTTTGGTAATTTGTCATTTCTTTAGTCCTTAGTAAACTCCAAGTTCAGTATGTAAATTCCTTCAAGGAACTTAAAGATGAGGTCTTCTCTATTGAGATAGATTTGGATTTTCATCTTAATAATGCATTCGCAATACTTTGCAAAATAAAGAGATATTGAACATTCAGATGCATTTTCTTATACATTTATCTGTGAAACTAAACTTCAGTATTTTCGTGGCAGTTCATACAAAACCAAGGCTTTTTAATCGGCATCACAAATGACAATGATATTCAGGTATTCTTTATAATTTGTGCAATGATTAGGTCATAAGGCATCATACCTGAATGTTCAACAACTTCCTGATTTTGTACAGGTTTGGAATCTGGAGGACAGGTGTCTAGCATGTTGTTTACCGTGGGAGTCCAACATTACTGCCTTCTGTCTCATTGGTGGCTCACATTTCATGTATATATGATTGCTAATGTTCTAATAATATTTTTATAAATTCAGCTGCGAGTTTGGTAGTTATGGAATGGTATTTGGCAATGCTTACTATATTGTTGCTCATCTTTTCTCACAGGTATATTGGAGACGAGTATGGTTTTCTCTCGGTGGTTAAGTTCGATGGTGAAGATGGAAAACTTTCGCACTTACCCTATAATATATCAGCAAATTCTTTAAATGGTAGTTTCTTCGTTCTTTTCTAATGGTTGGTAAAAAATTTCAACTGATTCAGAAAATTCTTTTAATGGACTATTTTATACTGTCTCGCAGAAGCATTTGGACTTTCAGTTCCTGATGACCAACCTATTGTTGGCATTCTTCCTCAACCCCATTCTTCTGGAGATAGGTATGGTGTTATTGCTCTTGCTAGGTCAGCCTTTGGAATTGATAAAGATTGAGGCTCAACATAACATCAAGTGGGCAAAACAACAATGGAGAGAGTTATAGAGAGAGAGAGAGAGTTTTCGATATACAAGGGGGGAGTTTCTTGGTCGGCTTTCGTTAATAATCTTAGTAAGGGAATGCGTCTTAGTGCTTTATGTGATTGTTTTAGTCATTATGGAAAAGTCATTAGGGTGTTCATTCCATTTATCAACAACAGACCGAATTATAAGGTTAGTACGTTTGTGTTTGTCCATTTCGCAAGCAAGGCGGATCTGTGCAATGCAGTGGAAAAGATGAACAACGTCACGATCGATGGAAGGAGGATTTTTGTGACAGTAGCGAAATATGAGAAACTTTCTGGGGTGAGGAAGCAGATTGAAGGAAGGGTTGAGGGTTCAAATAGCATTGTCAAAGGAGGTGCTAAGCCTGGAAGGTTGTCTTCCCCAGCTGATGGGGTAAGGAAGATGGAGATGTTGAATAAGTTCCATGATGGAAGGACCTATAAAGATACGGTGGTTGGGGAGAGCAAAGATCCTGTGGGTGTTCAAGTGGGTAGACATAGAAAAAAGGAGCTGTAAAATCCTATGGAAGTTTTTATTCCGGTGGAGAAGAGGGCCTGGTTGAAATCTTCCCTTACTGGTATATGTAAAGCAATTTTTGAAGTGGAGTTTTTGCAGAAAGCTTTAAGGAATGACGACATCAATGCAAAGGTGGCTAAGTGGGGATTTGCAAAAAATGCTTGTTTGGTAATTTTCCAAACAGTGGAGGAGAGAAGGATGGTGGTGGAAGAAAAATGGGAAGCTTTTTCCTGTTTGAAAGATTGGAACCTGTTTTGGATGAGGGAGGTATTCCCCTGCCTTATTGTGCGATCTCCATGGTTGGAGTTCCATTAAATTGTTGGTCGATTCCTTTCTTTACTAGTTTGGCATCCATATGGGGTAAGTTAGTGAAGATTTAAGATGAAACTGCTCATAGAGTGGACTGCAGAGTGGCACAGTTACTTCTCAGGGTGGCCAGTCTATTTGATATTCCTGAACATATTATCATCAATACGTATGGGAGGAGGTTCTTGATTAAGATTAAGGTCGAATGTGCTGAAGATTATTTTTCTGAGTTATCAGATATGGTTGAAGATGCTGTTTCAGAGGATCCATGGGAGGAGAGCTCCTCGGATTGGAGCAAAGGGGTTGTTCAGTTGCAGCAGGATGAGTACATGGGTACTCAGGAGGTGTCAGATTCCCAAAATAGGGTAGAGAAATGGGTCCAAGGATCCCAACAAGGCAAAAACACAGAAATAGAGGGGGTTTAATTTTTGCTCAAATTTAAATAAAGTTGTTTCGGTGGACCTGTGCAAGCGTGCGAATGATGCAGGAGCTATCTCCTTACTGCAGGAAAATTCTAAAAGCTCTAAGGAAAATAGAGAATATGGGAAGCACATGGGGGATGTTCCCGGTGAGCATGCTATTGTGGAATTTGATAATGGGCTTCGGGAAGGCATGCCTAGACAAGTGTTGGATGAGCAAGATAATGAGAATGGCAGGAAAAATAGTGGGGTCGTATTCCTACAGTAGATTATATTGAGGAGCAGTCTCGGGCCTCTTTTCAGTGTGTGCCTGTATCCGGTTCTTTGCAAATTATTAATGGAAAGAGTGAGGCTAGAAGTAAAGTGAGAAGAGGGTCATGTAACCGTGTTTATTCGAGGTCTAGGAGAGGGGGAGCTAAGAGCTGTGTAGATGTAAGTTCTGATTTTATTTATTCCAGGGAGCATGTTAGAAAGGTAGAGGCTCTTGAGTGTTGGAATGTTAGCAAACTGTTGGGGGTAGAATTTAGAGGGGGAAAGCAAAACTTTTTGGAAAAAACAGTTTCTTTGGTTAGGGAGAGAGAAGGAAACAAGAGTAATTAAGGGGTTTGGGATGAAAGGTTATTCAACAAGATATAGATGTCTAATTGGAAAATTTTGTCTTGGAATATTCGAGGTTTAGGTAGGATGGTTAAAGCTAGAGCGGTAAGGAGGTGTGTTGAAGAAAAGAAGCCTTAAATATTTTTTATCCAAGAATCGAAATTGGAATCACTGATTCCTTCATTATTGAGAAAAATGGGAGGTAAATTTCTGACTGGTTCGGCAGTATCTTCAGCTGAAGGTTCTGCTGGAGGCTTAATTACTTTGTGGAATGTAAATGATTGTGTTGTACAGGAAGAGGTTATCCACTGCAGATTTTTGGCAGTAAGAGGAATTATTGAAGAGTTCTCTGGACCTTGTTGGTTTATTAATGTGTATGGCCCGAGTGTGGATTTTGAAAAAGAGATGTTTTTTGGGGAATTGCTTTCTTTTCTGGAAAATGCAGACTGCCCAGTGTGTCTTGGGGGGGATTTTAATGCTTTTCTGTCACGGGAAGAGAAAGCTAGTGGTGAAGTTAATTTAGTCTCAATGAATGTTTTTAGACATTTTGTGAACATGCTATTTTGGTTGATTTACCTTTGGCTGGAGGAAGATTTACATGGTGTAATAATAGGGATGTCCCAACTTATGTGAGATTGGATTGATTTCTTCTGGATCAGAAATTTATGTCACTTTTTCCATTGATTTCCCAAAGTCTTTTACCAAGGTCTATTTCGGATCATAATTTGGTTTTGTTGGAAGATAGGGGCTGGAATTGGGGTCCTAAACTTTCCAAGTTGTTCAATTATGTCATGGAGGAAGAAGGGTTTGGTAAAATGGAGGCCGAACTATTCAAGTTGTGCAAAATAGACAAGAAAATTCCATTTTCCAGCGTGCTAAAAGGGGTGGAGAAAGTTGTTAAGAGCTGGTCAAATAAGAGTTAACCTAGAATTTCCTGGAAAAATTAACAGTTTGGAAAAAGAAATTCAGAAGTTAGAGATTGATTTGCAGCAAGGCTTACCTGGGGTGTCTATGAAGCAACTAGTAGAGGCAAAAAAACAATTGTGGGACTTTTACAAAATTGAAGAGTCCATCTGGTTTCAAAAATCGAGAGTGAAGTGGAGTTTGGAAGGGGACAAGAATACAAGGTTTTTCCATCAATGTGCTGGAGACAGAGGAAGGAGGAATTGTATTAAGTCCCTCAAAGTGGGGAATGAAATCATCTCAAATCCTATTAGGATAAAAGCATCAGTGGTGGATTTCTATAAGGATCTGTTCACGCAAAAAAATACTCTGGAGGTCGAAGAGTTGGACTTGGATTTTCTAAAACTTTTGACTGACCATAGTTTGGCTCTTGAAAAGCCATTTTCTGAAGAGGAAATATGGGATGTAATTGCCAATTCGGACAACAATAAATCACCTGGACCTGATGGGTTAAATTTAGGGTTTTTAAAGAAATTCTGGCCTAGTTTGAAACAAGTAATGTTGTTGTTTTTTAAGGATTTTTATGAGAGGAATGAATGGGATGAGGAGATTAATCACTCTTACATTTCTCTTATTCCAAAAAAGGTGAATCCGGAGGGATTAGAAGATTTTAGGCCTATTAGCCTTGTTGGGGGGGTTTTATAAGATCCTATCTAAGGTTCTAGCAAGGAGGTTGAGCCTATGCATTAACGAAGTTATAAGTCCGTCCTAATTTGCTTTTATCACGGGGAGACACATTATGGACTGCTCTTTTATTGCAAATGAAGGTATTGACTTCTGGAAGAAAGGATTGAAGGGAGTCGTTTTTAAGGTGGATTTTAAGAGAGCTTATGATTCGGTGGATTGAGAGATTTTGATGAAATTAATGGGCAAAATGGGGTTTGGTGTTAGATGGTGCTCTTGGATTTATAAATGTGTGTCACCGGCTTCTATTTCAGTCCTAGTAAACGGGAATCCAACGGAGAGAATTAAACCTTCAAGAGGACTAAGGCAGGGCTGTTAGTTATCTCCGATGTTGTTTAATTTGGGAGGGGAGTTGTTACATTTGTTGTTGGCAAAAGCAGTGGAAAGGGGTTGTTTTCGGGTTTCGAGCTAGGTTCTCTTGATAGCTCATTCAAGTTATCACATTTACAATTCGCTGATAATCTAATAATTTTCAGCAAGGCATCAATTCGTGATTTGTTGAATGTTAGAAGGGTTTTGTTGATTTTTGAATTATTGGTGAGGTTGAAGCTTAACTTAACTAAGAGCAGAATTTTTGGAGTTAATGTGGAGGACGAGGTTCTACATGCTTGGGCAAAGGAAATTGGATGTTCTAAGGGTGTTTTTCCTTCGGAGTATCTAGGGTTACCGTTGGGGGCCAAGAGGTACTCTTTTGCTTTATGGGAGTCTGTTGTGCAGAAATTTTACAATGCATTAGCTGGTTGGAAGGCTAAATCCCTATCATTGGCGGGAAGGATTGTTTTGGTGAAATCAGTTTTGTGCTCTCTCCCCATTTACTTATCTATTTTTCGGATACCAATAAGTGTTTTCAACAAGCTAAATTCGATTATGGCAGCCTTTTTATGGGGAAGCTCGACAGGAAAAAAGAACATTCATTGGTTGAATTGGAAGTTGGTGTGTAAGCCAAAGAAATTGGGAGGTTTAAGGATTCCAAATTTGATGCTTTTGAACAGGGCTTTATTGGGGAAATGGATTTGGAAATTTGCTTCGGAGAAGAAATCATGGTGGAAGATAGTGATGTGCAGTGTGAATAATTTAGATCCGAACTCTATGATGATTGGGAATAATTGCTCAGCCAGAGCTTCTTGGGTATGGAAAGGTGTGGTTAATAATTTCTTTTCTTCTGACGATTTTGGGGATTGCTTAAGGAATAATATGTGTTTAAGAGCTGGTAGTGGGGAATCAATGGAGTTTTGGAATGACATATGGCTGGGTTCGGTTTCTCTGAAGGAGATGTTTCCGAGACTGTTTGCTTTATCGAAGAATAAAATGGGTAAGGTGGCAGAATTCAGGTTGCACAGTATATCTGGTTGGGTTTGGGATATACAATTGAGAAGGAATTTGGTGGATTGGGAGGTTGAGCAATGTTGCAACTTATTTCCTTGTTGAACACCTCATCTCTTTCGTTACTCGAGGAAGATTGTTGGATATGGCTAGGGAATGGAGAGGGTTGTTTTTCTGCTAAATCCCGCATCACAAAATTTTACGATCATGAGGGCATTAATGGAGAAGAGGGTTTTTGGGATAGGCACGTTTGGACAGGGGTTGCACCTCGTGTAGAAGCTTTTGTTTGGTAAGTTACACATCAAAGAGTAGCAGTTAAAGAGGAGCTGTTGAAGAGAGGTGTCGTTGGGATTTATCATTCTTTATGTCCGATTTGTGGGAAGTGTGAGGAGTCAATTTCACATCTGATTCTGCATTGTGAGGTGGTTTGGTTTCTGTGGTCCAGATTTTTGAGGGACTAGAACGTTTCATTTGTGGTTCCTAAGAATTTGACTGATTTTTTAATTTTGTGGGATGATTTAGTTCCGAGTTCTAATATTTGGAAATTCATTCCAACGGCGGTGCTGTGGTCGGTTTGGAAATGCAGAAATGAGATTGTTTTTCAAAAGAAGAAGGTGGATTATGCTATGCTGTTCTTTCTTGCTAGATACAGAATTGCTACTTGGTTTGGGGTGAATTTTAATGATGTTTATATTCCTTTCGATTCCCTAGTTGGGGATCTAAAACTGGCATATTCGAATGGTAATCAGAAAAAAGGGTGTTCTACTCCTACTATGTGGGTACCTCCTCCACAAGGCTTCCTTAAACTCAATGTTGATGGGGCAATGGCTAAGGTTTGGGACAAAGGTGGAATAGGTGGTTTGATTAGAGATGACAAGGGTTTGTTACTGGGTTCATTCTCAGAAAATATTGGAGGTGGTCCTCCTATTCTTGCAGAGCTAATGGCGATCAAAAGAGGTTTGACTCTCATCGAAGAAGTAGGTTTCTCTCCAAGTCGGAGGATTATTTTGGAATCGGACTCCACCACAGCTCTGAAGTGGATTAAAAATCCTGACCTCTGTACCCCATTATTTCAGAACTTGGATGGAGGTGTAGCTTCTAAGGTGGAAGGACAGGGCATCATTTCAAGACATATATTGAGAGCCGCCAATTGGGAAGCGGATGAGTTAGCAAAGGCTGGTATTGGTTGATCGAGTAGTATTCTGTTGAGGTTTCTGTTTCTTGTGTTGGTCCAGTTTTTAGGTTCTGGTTTTACTGCTGCAGGTCGTTTTATGTTTTTAAGTCTTATGTTAAGCTGTCTATGACTAGGAATTGGTTGTATGTTATGTTTCAGGATAATAAAATTCAGAGGTGCTCTTTTCCTCTTTCCTATGTCCTTCATGTTACTGATATAACATGAAGGATATGAAGGGGGTTTTTAATGAGGCCCAACTTCTATATAAAAAAACCATAACATCAAGTGAACTTTATCCAGACTGCTTGAATTTGATACTTTCCCGTTACTTTTACATGTATGCTATATGTGAACGGAACTGGGGCGGTTCAATGAATTACCGTGAAATAACATATTTTATATTAAGGTGTAAATTGGATCTAGTCATTCATTCCACCAGCATCCTATATGGCTGCAGCATTACTAGGATGAAACTATCGTCTAAAGTTAGAACCTAATGACTATAGACAATTAGGAAAAAGCAATCAAGATTGGTTTAGCATCTTCTTATTACTTTTGAACCATATTCTTTTGCAGAGTCGTAATTGCATATGCAAATGGTTTGATAATTCTTTGGGATGTTTCTAAATCTCAAATTCCCTTTATTGGAGGTGGAAAGGATCTTCAGTTAAAGGATGCAGTGGATTCAGATGTCCAAGATGATACATCTGAGCATCATCTCCAAGAAAAGGAGATAAGTGCTATTTGTTGGGCATCTTCTGATGGATCCATTCTCGCAGTGGGGTACATAGATGGGGATATCTTGTTTTGGAATACAAGTGTTGCCTCTTCTAAAGGTGAACGGAATGGACAAAACAAAAATGTTGTTAAGCTGCAACTGTCATCTGCTGAGAGGAGACTTCCGGTCATTGTCTTACAATGGTCCTCAAACAATAGTTCACGCAATGATCATAATGGCCAACTTTTCATATATGGTGGAGATGAAATAGGATCTGAAGAAGTCTTGACGGTGCGTTATGCGTTTGTTTGCAATTTGGAACTCCAATATTTATGATGATAGTAGTAGTCATTGCTTGAAGTTTCTATGTCAAATTAATTTTATTCTTGCTTTTTTATGGTGGACAATTAAACGTTGTTGAGGATTGATTTGTATTAAGTTAATTAGAAATATATTACAAATTTACTGTTATACATATTTAGAGCTTAATGTGACTGGACAGGTTTTAAGTCTTGAATGGTCATCTGGGATGGACACTGTTAGATGTGTTGGTCGTGTGGATCTTACGTTGACTGGCTCTTTTGCTGACATGATCTTGTCACCTACTCCTGGGGCAACAGGAGGCAATCACAAAGCTGACCTTTTTGTGTTGACAAACCCTGGACAATTGCATCTTTACGATGGTATGAACTTGTCTACCTTGCTATCTGAGAAAGAGAGGAAACAATTTGCTCGTCCTGTGGAATTTCCGATGGTAATACCTACAGCTGACCCACCAATGACCGTTGGAAAGTTCAGTGTGCTACCAACTGGTGGAAACTCTTCAAAATCTCTCTCAGAGGTATTGTGTTCTGTCATAAATATGTTCATTATTTGATGTCATTGTGTTCCCTTAGGTTTTTCTTGTCTAACATTTCCCTCCTGTTCCACCAGCTTGCATCAATAATGAAACCTGGCTTGACACCAAATACAACTGCCGGTATAAAGTGTCCCTTGACAGGGGGTGTACCCACTCAACTATCTGTCTCTAAAGATAACAGTATTGACAGATTGTACATTGCCGGTTACCAGGATGGATCGGTTCGGATCTGGGATGCATCATATCCTATACTGACACTTATCTTTGTCCTAGAAGGAGAAGTGAGTTCCAGCAATGTTTCTTTCAATGCAACTCTGTTTGCACCAAATAACTTCTATCGAATGGCAGGTGCAAGGTACAGATGTGGCAGGTTCAGGTGCTCCAGTGACAACCCTCGACTTCTGTTGGCAGACTTTAAATTTGGCTGTTGGAAATGAATGCGGTGTGGTCAGCACTATGTCTTCACATTGTCTCTTCCTCTTTTAATGTTTCAAGGTTATGTGTTAAGGAAGTGCTTTATATATAAGATTTTAACATTCTGCCTTGTATAGGTACGCATTTATAACCTTGGCAGCTCCACTACAGCAAGCTTTCACTATGTCACTGAGACCAAATGTGAAGGTAAGCTTTCATCTAATGATGATTTTGTTGGAGCCTTTATTTTCTCAAATTAATATCATTCAACATGCCTTGCAGTTCAGAGTTGTGTACAAGGAAAAGGACCCGAGTGTAAAGCTGTATTTTCCCTTCTTAAATCACCAGTTCAAGCCCTGCAGTTTGGGAATTGTGGAGCCAAGCTTGCTGTTGGATTTGGATTTGGTCATGTAAATTTGATCTGTCTTCTCTTTGATTGAGACATATTCTTCATTTGTCTAAGAAGCTGTCATTTTACTATTTTTAGCTTTCTATTTCTGGACTCATTTCTTTGTGCTTCCACCACAGGTTGCAGTGCTTGATGTGAGTTCTCCAGCAATTTTGTTTGTTACTGACTGTGTTTCTAGCTCATCATCTCAGATCATTTCATTGTGTTGGTTAGAGTTTAAAAATGCTCATAGCCATGTAAAAAGTAATGGGCAATCAGAAACAGAAGTTGCAGTCAAACCTGAAGAGGAAATAATATTTATCTTAACCAAGGATGCAAAAATTTTCTCTATTGACGGTACCAATGGTGATATGATACACCCTCATCCATGGCACTTGAAAAAAGAAGAAATTGCACTTTCCATGTACATTATAGGCAAGTACCATGATAAAGATGGATGCTTAAAGCTAGCACTTCATTTGCACTTTTTACAAAAATGCAATTCTAATAGTATTCCGAACTCCAGTGAGCAGTTTTCCAGTATTAGACCATGAGAAACATCTGGAGGAATCCAGCAAGGATACCACTGCCAAGGGTGAGGCTGAGCTTGATGCTTCTTCAACTGGGACTGAACATCCCTCCTCATCCGAAACTGCTTCGTCTCTAGATCGCTCACTTGATATGCTTGTTTTGCTTTGTTGTCAAAATTCATTGCGGTTGTACTCCATGAAGTCTGTGATTCAGGTTCCTTTATTGCCTTCTCTGTGTTTTGCTTCAGAACATTGCTGTGCCTCCATTCGTGTGCTTAAGAGATTTGCTTTCTATAGGAGAAGGACAAAACAATTCATAAGGTAAATCATACGAAACCTTGCTGTTGGACCGCCACTTTTAAGAAAGATGGAAGAGTTTGCGGACTGCTCTTGCTGTTTCAAACTGGGGATCTCGAGATTAGGTAAAATTTTGATATATATGTATGTATGTATAGATGTGTGTACACACACACACATATATATATATATTCTTTCTGTCCTTAACTAGGGTATTGATTTCCTTATCACATCACTCAATTATTATGTTTTAAAGAGAGATTATGTTTCTTTGAGGATCGTTATCCGTATCAATGTTTATCAAATGACTGAATGTTGGTACCTATCTCCATGCAGATCCTTGCCGGACTTGGAATTGGTTAAAGAAAGCTCCATAAAGTCGATCCTAAGGTGGAACTACAAGGCAAACATGGATAAGTTGATGACTTCTGATGATGCTCAACTTACACTGGTACATTCTCTTGGAATCTTTTTTCTTTGGAAGCTGTTTCGTTGTTTATTGGACTGTTTCAATATCGATTTAAGAACATACACTAACTATGCTATTATGCTAACAAAAACAACATTACCTCTAATACTAAAACCCCCTTTGTTTGGTCCGTTTATTTGTATTTTCAATAATTCATCTGATGATATTTTTGGCATAAATAGACGAGTGGATGCGAAGTGGCCTTCATTTCGCTCTTGGCTGGTTCAAATGATTTCAGGTACCACCACCATTTAATTAACCAGTGCTGTTGAGAAAATTTTGAATCTAATGAAGAAAATGATTCTGAGAACTTGCTGTATTGTTGTTTCTAGGATCCCCGAATCGCTGCCTTGTCTCCATGATCGGGTTCTTGCAGCAGCTGCCGATGCTGCGATTAATTTCTCATCAAATCAGAAGAAGAAACAGGTCCATAGAAATCTGTCTTCTAGGTTCAGTTTCCGACAAAACTGCTTATTATTTTGCCATATTAACGCAGGGTATGGCACCGGGGATTCTTGGTGGTATAGTCAAAGGCTTTAAAGGAGGAAAAGTGAATACATCTGCAACATCCGAATCTGATTTTACTCATCTAGAAAGCAAATTTTTAAAGACTCCATTCATAGAGGCAACCCGGAATGTTAATAAGCAGGAAGATATTGAGCTCGACATAGGTTCGGTCCACGGTTACATCCACACTCTTTCTTAATTCTTCGTTTTTCTCTAAATGAAACATTTTTCTTTTGGCACCAGATGACATCGACATAGATGAAACTCCACCTGTGGCTGTGACTAGCTCCTTGTCTCATGAAGCTGTTAAACCAAAAGGAGGTAAACCTGACTTTCTAACTTGCTTTTCTTTACTGCTGAACTTCTAAAATGAAATTGCCAAATATTCACTTTACCTTGCAGGAAAGGAAACAGACCGAGAAAAACTACTAGGTGCACAAGATGATTCAACACCCAGAGTTCGAACAGCCCAAGAAATTATTGCAAAATACAGAAAAACTGGGGTAACGAATTTAGACACATTATGCTTTTAATGATCCGTCTGTTTCTCAGCAATAGCTTTCTAAGAAGATTCCATTATCTGATATTGCAGGACGCCTCTTCAGTAGCATCACATGCAAGAGATAAACTGGCAGAGAGGGGGGAAAAGCTGCAGGTAAAAAGGATCTCCCATTAAATCCATAAGATGAACATTTTACTGCAGTTGATATACTAAAAGCTGTCGATACAGTGGATTCTGGATTATCTCCAAGCATAACCATGCTTCTCTGTGGTTTGCTTATGTTTGTATCAGAGAATCAGCCGGCGCACTGAAGAGCTGCAAAGCGGGGCTGAAAACTTTGCATCGTTAGCAGATGAACTTGTCAAGGCAATGGAAAATCGAAAATGGTGGCAGATATAAGGTGAAACAAACGGGGAATTCAATCACGTCTTTTGAGATTATTTCTTCAGGCTCCATGTTAGTCTGTTACTTTCGAGCTTAGACGGGGTCATTACCGTTCCACAGCTAATACTTCCTACAAAACCATATGTATCTGCTCGGAAATTTCTGTGTTGAAGTTTCAACAGACAATAGTGTTGGAGAGTTCTTTTGTATCTGATGTATATTAACACAAGTCAACATTTCTGCTGCTTGAACATGATTCATTCTGATAAAAGAATTCTGGGTTTGAATTTCATATTATTATTTTGTCCATGCAGTGCATGGTGATTATAGAATGTAAAAGGATTGATGTTGATCAAGTATGAGGTTGTAATATTCTTACTTTGAAACAATCAAACTACCCATATTGCTGATAAAGTATTGATTTTTCAATTCCAAGGGATGACCATCATACCATGGCCGTATCTTTGTTGGATTCAGATTATTTTTCTTTGCATTCAAAGTTATACGTGGAAAAAAATTAGAACGGAATCCTGACAAATGCTATTATAATAAATTTAATTTTTTTTAATATGAAAGTTATACATGGTTAAGGTCTCTTTAACTCATTTCATGCCGACTTGGTCGGTTGGCTAACTTACACGTGGAGTTTTCATTTGAAGGGTTTAAGGAGAAAAAGGTCAGCTACAAAAGTATACTTCTCACTTTGAAAAAACATTTGCCGGTCCATCTTTTGTAAAAAGTTGTTCATCGTCCAAAGACAAATATGTATATAATAATTAATAGATGTATTAACTGGCGATTTTTTCGATATATCACCGTTAAATAGTATATTTCTCGATCAGGCATCGTTTAGATTATATTTCTTGATCTAACATCTTTTGCAGAAAGGCACGCTCCCTGTAACGCGCTTTATGCTGATTTGGTGTCACATGGGGTAAGGCACGCCCCCTGAAGCGCACCTTATGCTGACATGATATACACTTGTGTAAAGGAGGTATAGCGCGGTGCAGGGGCCACGTCTTACCCCAAAATTTGCCACGCCTCACAAAGGCGCGCCCCCTGCAGCGCACCTTAGCTATAATTATCCACCTACCCGACGTTTCACACCCCAATCCCTCCCTATAAATACCCCCATCTTCAATCACTTTCATCACACCAAATTCTCTCAACTTCTCTCAAATACTCTTATAATCTATGTTTAAAGTATATTTTATTATATTTTTAATATTTTGTATTTAATTTATTTAAGTATTTAATGTATTTAATATTTTACTTAATTAATTTTTTTGCAGATATAAAATGGAAGACGGTCTACTTCGCTTGGATGAAAATCATATATCTCGACACTTTGCTGATACGGTAACATTTTAACGTTTTAATTTAATTAAAATTATTAGTAATAATTTGTTGATTTATTTAATGCATGATTATTAAATTAAGAATTAATTTTTGTAATTATTTAATTTTAAGAGAATGACCGTGTATTAGATCCTTTTATTAGGAACCTTAAATTAGTGATACCTAGCCGTGTCTTGCCTTATTTAGTAGAGGTTGGATTCGGTTACAAAGGTAGATATCAGGGTCACTATAAGATAGAACCAAACCTTATTTCTGTCTTAGTAGAGCGATGGAGGCCGGAGACCCACATATTCCATCTTCCGTGCAGAGAGTGCACGATTACACTTGAGGATGTTTCTATGCACCTGGGGCTTCCAGTGGATGGAGATGTGATATCAGGGATTGCACAGGGTTCTTGGACTACTTTGTGTCGGGATAATCTAGGATGTGTCCCGGAAAGTTTTAACGGTGGTCGGATACCGTCAAATTGGTTAGATGCCAATTTTCGGGAGTTGAGCGAGGACGCGTCAGAAGATGAAGTTAAAATATATGCACGGGCATGCATACTGTAGCTGATAGGAGGGTTGTTAATGCCATACAAATCGTGCAACCAAGTTCACTGTACGTGGTTGCGACATCTTGTCGACTTTCATCTGGCCGGATCACTCAGTTGGGGATCGGCAGTTTTGGCTTTCCTGTACAGGGAGATGTGTTGAGCCACTGACTACAGGCGTAATGCTATCGGCGGATGTCTCCTGCTGCTGCAGTCTTGGGCATGATATCGATTGCCCTTTTTATGTCCCATTGTGAAGAATCCATTCGTATTTCCGCTACTCTTGATGTAATTATAAAACTGATTTCGTATATTAATCATTTTATACAGTGTATAATAATTTTTTTCCTTGAATAGGTGGTCTACTGACAGGAAAAATTATCAGGAGCTACCTGATGATTTAGAAAAAATTAGGGTGCTAATCAATCAGAAGGCTGACACACAGGTATGAATTTTAATGTTTAAAAATCGATTTTAGATTATAGTTATATAATTAGATTATTATTTTGATAAAAATTATATATATTTGTTTTAGTTTGAATGGGTGTCATATTCTAATGATGATGTGAGGACGTTGATCCCACCTGAGTTGAGGGGCCCATCAGATGTTTGAATGTCGATGGTCTCTTTGATCTGTTATATGACCGTCGAGTGACACTCTACTGATTGTGTGCTCCGGCAATTTGGTTGTTTTCAACCAATTCCTGAAGCACCTCGCAATATGGACGAGTTGCATAGCATAGATAGACGCGGCATGACCGATACATATTGGCTGGTGAGGCATCATGAGTGGGTCGTATTGTGGGAGGATCGACATCGGCGCCTTCCTCGTAGAGAGCCCATTTATGTTGATGACTTGACGGTTAATGATGATTATTATGAGTGGTTCAACAGAAACGGGAAACCGTTTCTGCTTCCCGATGATGCACGAGGGTAGACCTTTCCACGATGTCGACAGAGACGTTCACCGACACAGTACCATCGTCTCTCGACTCATGGACGGAGAGCAGGTGCTTCCGGTTCATCCTCAGCTGCACCAGCAGGACCTTCACAGCAGCCACCGTCTGCAGCGACTTACATATTGTAGCCATATATGACGCCATCACTACCTTTCCATTACCAGATGTCGTCGTCGCCGCCTTTACCTGGTTTTATGACCCCCGCCGCGCCACCTTCACAGAGTTTTATGACCCCTCCTGGAGGCTATTATGGGTCTATGTTTGTAGATTCGACTTGGGGTTCATATGCTGGATATTTGGCGGGTTCAACCTCATCACCCATGGCTACAGCACAGACACCTCATGTACAGTTTTCACACTCAACGATGTCTGGGTTTTATGAGTTTTCCCAGTTTTCGCATGCCGGTGGGATAGTCAGTCATACACCTCCAGGGTCCTTATTCTATGGAGGTGTTTCATCGTCATCAGCTCATCTTCAACAAAATTTAGCTGCTTAGGACGACAACGACGACGACGACAATGATGATGGTGATGACAGTGAGGACTCACAACTAGTGATACGAAGAAATCCTCCTCGAGACCGACAGCCACTTCCCTGTGGAACACATTCGCGTCGCAGGCATCGATAGATTTTGTTTTTTTATTATATTTGTATTTAGTACTTTTATTTAAGTTGTTTATTGGACTTTGTTATTATAAATTTTTTATTATTTGTCATTTAATACTTACTTTAATTTGTTAATATGGTTGGATTTATTTTAATTTATTTCGTTAAATTTGTTGGATTTTTTGTTAATTTATTTTGCTTAATTTTGTTTATTACCATTTAATATTAGTTATTGTAATTTGGTTATCATTTACCATTTAAAACTTATTGTATCGTTAATATAACGCCAACATCCAATCTCATATAATTGTATCGTTTTTTTAATCTTCATCAGCGGTTATCAAATAACATTAACTTGAAGTAAATGCAAATTAAAGTACAATAATTATTAATTGATAAACAACTACATCATTTCCTCATCAATTGTTACTTGATGACAACAAAAGTGGACATGTTTTTCTAGTGTGTCCTGAGTTTCTACAATGCCCACATCTTTTGGTAGAGATGATGGTTCCTTCATGCTCTCCACATTTAGGTCGAAGAACCTTCTACTTGCATGCCTTCCCCTTGAACTAGAAGGCATATCGACATTCAGATCGAAAAAGCTCGTAGTCGAATGCCTCCCCTTGGAGCTTGAAGCCATCGTGTCAAATGGAAACTGCACAAATTGTTGCATCGATGGCATCTCCATATTAAGGTCAAAGGGATTTGCAGATGAATACCTTCCCCTTGAACTGGACGCGATGTTGTCATCGGATTGTTCATCGACCCACCTCGGTACATATCGTAAGGAGTTATGGATGAATGTCTCCCCATTATGGCATTAAAATCATTACACATTACTGTTTTCGGGCTGTCAACTTGATCAACTTGTTCAGCCAGACCATAGTGGGAGCTTAATGATTGACCCCGAACAACACGCACTTGAATAAAATTTGCATACATCTCAGTATCGGCGTCTGAATAATTACTTTGAGCTTCAACCATTATTTCAACATCATCATTGTTCAAAAGTTCGAACGCTGTATAAGTTAATGACAACAATGATGTTGTAAATCTGTACTGCAACGACGACATTCTTCTACTACTTCCAACATGAATCTTCCTCGAAATCTTCGTTATCAGCTCCTCAAGAGTTATGTTTCTCTTCAATGATATTTTAACACACACATTTGATACGAAAATAACGCCGGGTTCATCTTCTCGAATTTCTCCATCATAATAAACAATAGCTGAAAGTCGCGCTATTTTTTGAGTTTAAAAGTGCGACAATATTATATCTGCGACAATATTATATCTGCAAAAAAAACAACTAAAACAATGCTGATTAAATAAATAATATATGAACGAAAATCTAACGCAATAAAATTTTTAGACATAAACGTAAATAATTTAAATAATATAATTTTATATTATTACCTGTACCGCAAAACTATTTCGACGTATATTCCCGCTTTCTAATTTTACAAACAAAGAAATTAATTGACAACAATTAGTATAATATTTTTTTCAAATAATCATAATAAACAATAAGTATAATAAAAAATTTATCACAAAATTACCTTATAACGAAAACTCGTACGAACTTCTGAATTAAATATGAGAAGATTGTTGGATTGTTGTATTAATTTTTTCTAATCGAGATGAGATGTGAGGAGTTACCCTGGGAAAGGGTATTTACAATCGGGAAAAGCTACAAGACGCGGTACCTGTACCGCGCCTTACATAATTATATCAGATAAAGCTAAGGCGTGGCCCCTGTTCCGCTCCTAATAATTGTGTTAAAGGTAAGGCGTGACCCTGCCCTGCGCTATATTTCTAGGTGGCCTAAGACGCGCCTCGGGGGTCGCGCTTTACACACGTGTATACCATGTCAGCATAAGGCGTGCTGCAGGGGACGCGCCTTACCTCACGCGGTGTCAATTCAGCATAAAACGCGTTACAGGGACTTGGTCTTTTTGCAAAGGGT